GCAATCAGAAACACAGAAGGACAATATTAATGGATAGGCAATCAGAAACACAGAAGGACAATATTAATGGATAGGCAATCAGAAACACAGAAGGACAATATTAATGGATAGGCAATCAGAAACACAGAAGGACAATATTAATGGATAGGCAATCAGAAACACAGAAGGACAATATTAATGGATAGGCAATCAGAAACACAGAAGGACAATATTAATGGATAGGCAATCAGAAACACAGATGAACAATATTAATGGATATGCAATCAGAAACACAGAAGGACAATATTAATGGATAGGAAGGACAATATTAATGGATAGGCAGTCAGAAAAACCGAAGGACAATATTGATGGATAGGCAATCAGAAACACAGACAAACAATATTAATGGATTGCCAACAGGTAATATTAAGATATATATTCAAATCATCTTTAGCTGTCATCTTGTAGCTGTATATTGTGCATCAAGAACAGATTTCAACTTACAAGATTCTTTTTTTTTTTTTTTTTGAGAATTTTGTGAATTGTGCAAGTTGTGGTACTGAACCGCCATCTTCCATATATGTAAAGGATGTTCTTTCCTCTTAGTATTGATAAGAAGATGTATTCCCACAAGAGGAGGCTGGATTTGTTATGTCACAGTATCAGGGTATCTGGTGATATTATGTAATACAACAAGAGTCTAGAGGATACTATCTGCAGCCACCTGTGCTGGCCAATTATCTACTTAATTACTGTCTATGTAATATCAAACACAGCAAGATGTACTACTACAGAGTCTTACACATACAGTGAAACAGGCAAATAACGGGCAAAGTGGTCCGTGATCATATGCACATGCAAATTTGGCGTGTAGCCCAGCCCAGCAGATATGGTTCTGATACCACCTTGATTATTAACGGACCTAACTACAAGATTAGTATGGATATGTCTGGTACCAAAACTTACATTGGAAGCATTTTAGGAGCAATTACATCACTGTGTAATAAGTTTGAGGGGGGATTAGATGTAATGGCCATGGTGGCCTGGTTGATGATGCTGATGATGAGGTGTAATCATAGCCACATTGACAGAATGAGAAACGGAGTGTTGTTAATGTAATCATCAGATCTCCTCCAGAGCACGCTCTGTGTAGAAATTCAACAAAGTTGGGGTTGAATCATTTAGGCATGTGGTTTAAAGACTCTTGTTATTTATTCACCATATTTAATTGAAAAGTAAAACAAGATAAAAGATTTGTATAATACCTCCACCCGGATTCTCTACATAGCAATGTCATACCAGGAACACTCGGAATGGTATCGCGAATAAAATGTCTCCATCTACATCTCATGTACCGGCTATATAATTTGCTAAAAGCTGTCAGAATACTTTGTTGGCATCTTATGAAGATAGGGAAAAAACATTTCCCAAATTTTCAAACTAACATACAATCAGCTGGTGATTCATGCTGGGTCTTTGATTAATTAAAAGATGAGAGCCTTTCTTAAAAAGATTTTGTATGTTGTTTAATGTTTTGGGTCTCCTGTCTGTCTGAACAAGCTACCTTTACTGAAGGTTTTTCTCAAGATATTGGTGTACTCAGAGATCATTATCATATCATATTAAAGGTTTGAATACATAGCAAAAAATTATTTCTTGTCAAAACAATTTCTCACAGAAATATAATTGTCATGGAAAACACTGTAAACAAAACTTTAATAAATTCTGTCTCACAATCTCATAATATGTGTCATGTAAAAATATAGATTCAGAAATAATATGTGGTGAAACTGGCAAATTTACATATACACTGGAACACTGCTGTACACTGGAGCAGTGCTGTCCCTTACAGCTGTAAATGGAGCAGTGCTGTCCCTTACAGCTGTACATGGAGCAGGGCGGTCCCTTACTGCTGTACACTGAATCAGTGCTGTCCCTTACTGCTGTACACTGAAGCAGGGCTGTCCCTTACTGCTGTACATGGAGCAAGGCTGTCCATTACTGCTGTACACTGGAGCAATGCTGTCCCTTACTGCTGTACATGGAACAGTGCTGTCTCTTACTGCTGTACACTGGAGCAGTGATAAACCTTATTGCTATACATTGGAGCAGTGCTGTACCTTACTGCTGTACACTGGAGCAGTGATGAACCTTACTGCTGTACACTGGAGCAGTGCTGTACCTTACTGCTGTACACTGGAGCAGTGATAAACCTTATTGCTGTACACTTGAACAGTGCTGTCCCTTACTGCTGACACTGGAGCAGTGCTCTACCTTTCTGCTGTACACTGAAGCAATGCTTTCTCTTACTGCTGTACACTGGAGCAGTGATAAACCTAATTGCTGTACACTGGAGCAGTGCTGTACCTTACTGCTGTACACTGGAGCAGTGCTATCCCTTATTGCTGTACACTGGAGCAGTGCTGTACCTTACTGCTGTACACTGGAGCAGTGCTCTACCTTTCTGCTGTACACTGAAGCAATGCTGTCTCTTACTGCTGTACACTGGAGCAGTGATAAGCCTAATTGCTGTACACTGAAGCAGTGTTGTACCTTACTGCTGTACACTGGAGCAGTGCTGTACCTTACTGCTGTACACTGGAGCAGTGATAAACCTTATTGCAATACATTGGAGCAGTATCCTACTGCTATACACTGAAGAAGTGATGAACCTTACAGCTGTATTCCATTGCATTAAGTTTATAACCATGATATTTTGTAGAGTGTATGGCCCTGAAGTGCCCCAACAAAAGGTTTGCTGTCAGAATTACATCATCCTGGCTCAGACCCAAGGTGTATTGTCTTGCTCTGTCACAAAGGTTTAGAAGGGTGCCGATGCAGATAATTATCAACTGTTCATCTTTGTCAACAACAAAAACATTGATGTTGATAGTGTAACACCTGATTTCATTCATGATTCAAGGAAAAGGGAAATAAAGTAGGAAGTGTTAGGTGATCTATAATGACTGGTCTAATACATCCTTTAGAAACCTCAATGTACATGTCAGGAAGATCCAGCAGCAATTCTAATTGAATGCTAAGAACTGGTTCAGGACATGCCTCCCTCAACTGCAACAAACAATTAGAGATTGTTAGCTGATGTCTATTTCATGAGACATACATTAACCTCCTGCTATAGCACAAACACTCATTAAGGACTGTTTACTGTCAACTCAGAGGATCAGGAGGGGTAAAAAATACAGGTGTTCACTGCAAGCTAGCCCGCACCTGGTTTCTGTGTCTCATGCATGTCTAATTTCTGTTTGTCGCCTTACACATCTGTAACAATGTTGTTTTGTAGTATACTACTTCTAATAAGTTCTTTAAATAGAACAGATTTATTTTCATAATTATGTCGGTATGATGGGCGAGAAATATATGCACACTGTAATATTATGCATGATGATTTTTGCAGGAAATACAAAATCTATATAAATCCATTCATAAACTCAAAACATTGTCCAATTTATTGTTACATATTTTCTGTGTATCATCAATAAAATTGATGGAACAACTTGCCCGCTATCTATTCTGAGTGATTGATCAGGGATCAATCTAGGATTATTTTACTACCTGTATTTGGTAATTTCCCCTTGCAGCTAAAATTCCCCTCTTACAGAATGTTCCTCTTGAATTTTAACAATATATTCATTACATTTTGATCTTTCAGTTTTCTTGTTTTTGAGTAGAATCGGTTAGATCTTGTATATAATTTTTTTGTTTTAGTAAGAATCTTACATTATTCCGAAGTTGTTTGAACAGTCAATCACAAAGTTCTGAAAAACTGTAAATTGTTTTCAGCCCAAGAAGCATCCTCCTAAGGCCCTTATTATCCTCTAGTCACAAAAAGGTTATGTTTGCCTATATCCTAGATTGATCCTTATTGATTCCACACTGTCCACTCTACTTGAAACAGATGGTCATAACCAAGTTGTACATTGTCCTGGTTTATCAGTCCTGTAAACTTCTATTAGGTTTATATGGAGCATGTGATGTAAGTGCTATCACATTATATTTAAACACCCAGTCAGAATGCAGGATGACCTTTCATGCCAAAAGGTCACTGACCTTCTTAATAATAAAATACTACATTAACATTTACACTGTATCTTGTGTAATGTGTATTTAAATTGTTTCATTTTTTTATCAATGGCCTCTTCCAGTCTTGAATGTCTAGTTGTCTGTTTACTGTGAAGCTTTCCAGATATTTCCCAACATATTTAGCATACAAAACAGGCATGTTATGGCTATAATCATGCTACAATTTTATTTGGCATTTAAATTTTTGTAAACATAATCTTTTCACGGTAAATGTAAGCCTTTCTGTCACAGCATGTACATCCCTAGACTACCAGCTAGGACCATAGCCTATTAACAATATCAGAACCTATAGTAGATCCCCTGTATCTATTAGACGGAGAAGACAACACCAACTTGTTGGTATGAGACACATTTATGACATGTGACCAGCATTTTCTTACCAATAGACCCCTACCATGGTTACCTTAACACTTAAGTCTTGAGTGTTTGAAAAAAAAAACACATAAGCCTATTGTACATTTCAAAATCTCATACATCATCTTTTTATTTGTGTAAATATCACAATACATACTGGTATTAGATGTTTAATTTGACAGTTGTGTTGTGTATGAAGAAATGCTACAAATTTAACCAGCAGTTCCCTAGGATTTATTTTCCATTCCAAATTTAGAATAATTTTATCTGATTCCAGAAATCTGAAAATGAACAGTAGGAATAAATAAACTTTGAAGGAGTAATATAGAATGTAAAAAAAACAAGACTGAGAACCATTTTTCTACATTTCATTTTCTGAATCGCCTTATAAATCATGATGTCTGATACTTAGTTTCAAATCACTGATTAAATGACTTACAGATGGATGTGAATAAAACCCTGAACTTTATTGTTCACCTTTGCTAAATACAGCTGATTCTTACTTCCTGTGAGTAATTCAGTGTGACATGAAATAGATGACTATCACACTTATTTCATTCTTTCAGGTCCATAATGTCAACTTTGCCTTTGAACTGATGCAAGATGGTGGACTTCCAAAGCCCAAAGCACGACCAGAAGGTATTGTTGTCTTTTGTTTAAATCATGTTATAATCATCTCATCATGACAGAAAAAATTTCATTTCCTCAGTTCTGTTACATGTCAGTTTGTTGTTTCGTTATATCTGTTTCCTATTCATTCTGATGTAGAAGCCCTATCACAATGAGTATTTCAAATTATTTCTAAAATTTAGAAATTTTAACAAATCCTCTACCACTTACACTAGTCTGTTGTCTGATTACGGTCTCTCAAGTTGTTTACTATCAGACATCAAACAAAAACAGCATAAATAAACTTAGAGGTTTAGGAATACAGGAAAAGTGTAGTTTTATATTGTGATGGAATTTGGTCTTCTTTTGGATAAACATTGTTTTGCAATGATTGTTAGATGATTGAAATAAATATATAATTACATTTACTTCTAATCCATGAAAAACTGCATATGTTCCTGAGACATATTGATTTGAAAGATTCTATTTGTTGGAATCATTAAATAATGATGTTAAGACAACATGCTTTAAATTCAATAAGATGTGTTATTTCTTAACAGATGTTGTTAACCAAGATCTGAAATCAACTCTACGTGTCCTCTATAACATCTTCACCAAATACAAAGGTCAAGCACCGTGATATGACAATGTCAAAATGTCTCTGGTAAGTTACACTATAGTTACACAAAGGTCAAACACTGTGATATGGCAGTGTCAAAATGTCTCTGGTAAGTTACACTGTAGTTACACAAAGGTTAAACACTGTGATATGGCAGTGCCAAAATGTCTCTGGTTAGCTACACTATAGTTACACAAAGTTCAAACTCTGTGATATGACAGTGTCAAAATGTCTCTGGTAAGTTACACTGTAGTTACACAAAGGTTAAATACTGTGATATGACAGTGTCAAAATGTCTGTGGTAAGTTACACAATAGTTACACAAAGGTTAAACACTGTGATATGGCAGTGTCAAAATGTCTCTGGTAAGTTACACTATAGTTACACAAAGGTTAAACACTGTGATATGACAGTGTCAAAATGTCTGTGGTAAGTTACACAATAGTTCCACAAAGGTTAAACACTGTGATATGGCAGTGTCAAAATGTCTCTGGTAAGTTACACTGTAGTTACACAAAGGTTAAACACTGTGATATGGCAGTGTCAAAATGTCTCTGGTAAGTTACACTGTAGTTACACAAAGGTCAAACACCGTTATTTGACAGTGTCAAAATGTCTGTGGTAAGTTACACAATAGTTACACAAAGGTCAAACACTGTGATATGACAGTGTCAAAATGTCTCTGTTAAGTTACACAATAGTTACACAAAGGTTAAACACTGTGATATGACAGTGTCAAAATGTCTGTGGTAAGTTACACAATAGTTACACAAAGGTCAAACACTGTGACATGACATGGCTACAAAGTCTGACCTACATTATAGATGACCCAGTATGACCTATGACTCCTGACTGACATTGTAGATGACCCAGTCTAAGCTTTGACCTCTTGACAGACATTATAGGTCATCCAGTATTACCTTTGACCTCCTAGCAGATTTTGTACTTGGCCCAGTATAACCTTTGACCTCCTGATAGATATTATAGATGACCCAGTATAACCTTTGATTCTTTTGATGATTGGGTATAATCAGTGATCACCTGACAGACTTTATAGATGGTGAATAAAACCCAATATGACCTATGACCTCCTGACACTCTTTGTAAATAGCTTCATCTAACCTTTATGACATCATGACAGTATGTGTTTTAGATGACCTATAATGACCTTCTTACAGATAGTGTAAATAGCCCAGTATGACTTATGACGTCCTGATAAACTAAACAGATGCTACAGTTAAACCTGTAACCTCCAGTTTGTGTAGATGGACCAGTATAACCTTTGACCTGATCCTGTGAGCTCTGGAAGTCTGTACAGATGGACAAGTATAGTCACTGATAATCTTGAGTGTCTAAATGTTAGTATATGGTATGGATCACAAACATACATACAGTTTAGTAATAACAGGTTGTGGAGTCCAAAACACTTGTCGCAAACCCTTGTTTTAAACCACAACACAAAGTGTAGGATGTTTGTTAACTGTTGAGAAATCTTAGTGAGGCATCAAGCCTTAGGGCTGTGGGTTTACAGGTAATCCGCTCCAGAACCAGAATCACTTTCTGTGATAGTTAGCTGATCATTTCTCAGTGATAAATTGCTCCAGTGATGAAACATAGCTATCTTTTAATCGTATACCCACTATCTAATGCTCCTTCTTATACAACTGACATTTCACATAGTAAAAAAGGCTGTATAGAGAGGATGTGGTTTTTTTCTGACCTTTGTGCACCTGAATCCTTTATTACTTAACTCAATGGAAGTCAGTGAACTGAATTCTTAAGGGTATACAACAGGTTGGAAAAATGGGAGTGTCACAGTGACGGAAATGTTTGTATTACATAATACATGGGTGTACGTGTAATCCTAGTGTACATATACAGTATTGTAGGTCACTGTCAGATTCATGTATTTTATGTGTATTCTTAATAACATGGCTGGTGAACTGGTTGTTCAGAATCTAGTGATATTATCATAAGTGGGACACATCATCTTTTTTTATTACAGTATGAGATGGGGTATCTGTGAAACAACAAGACAAGTTCATAGTTATATACAACAAACTAAAAGAAATCCACTTATTTTAGTTTCCACAGAAGCATGAAAACAGAATAAAATGTATGTAGAATTAGATCTTAGTGCAAAAGACTGACATTTTCCATCTGCTGAGTTAGGAAAACTTGTAGTGTTCTGTCTACTCTGGACAGAAAAGACAAGCTATAAATGTATGTAAACATTTTGTTTTCAGAAAACTGTAGACAATAAACAATAAAGATCTCAGTAAGAACCATATAATAGTGAAATCGTCTGTGCCAAACACTAGTCTGTTTCCAGTATTTTCTATTTCCATGTTTACTTGAATTAAAGCCAGAAATGCTACTTCACAGCCAGACCACCAGGGGTAGATCTATGTGCCTTGATCTACTGGGTCACAGAAACACATCAGATACACGTGTACTCTATCTGCAATGGAACCACTTTTAGGTCCAGCATCACAAGTGTTGGTGATGTATTTAGTGACCTTCTAGTATCTCTGTTGTCTCACATAGGAGGCCCAAAATCTGAAATCTCATATAGGGATATTTTGGCCGTAGATAAGCTTAGTGGTTTTGACAAGTTTCTGCCTATAGGTATACATGTACCTTTTCAGTATGATACCATATATGTTTTATACATGTTACTCATACTACTTAAAGATATCATTTCAAGACAGTGCAAAGACTATATGTAAAGTTTCCTACTCATTTTACTGTTTGTCTTTCCTTCAATCTGAGATATGTTGGTCATATTTCATTCACCATTAATTGCCCACCAGTCCCTCATACTACTGTTTCTGAACATTATCTTCAGTCCTGTTTTAGTTATTTCTCAAAGCCTTCATCCATTACTTTTGGAGGTCAAAGATTAAGGTCACTTACTATAACTAGACATTTGCTTTCTAAACAATATTTGGAGATTTGTTAATCTGATTTCTGTCAGATTCGATCCATGCCTTTCATTGCAGAAAGTGCCCTGTTGGCACCAGGTTTCAGATCCAGTGGTCAAAGGTCAAGTCACTGTTACTATAAATGAAGGTCTAGAATGTGTAATACTTGAATGAAATAATGTTTCAGAACGGAAAAAAGTTATGTATCACTGTGCCTCTTTGTTGATGTTTTTTTTTAAATGAAAAAAATGACACTTAAATGTCAGGGACTATTGGTATCAGAGTTCCGTTGTTAACTCCCCTGGCCTGAAGGGCGAGGTGAACTTCTGCCATGGTGCGACATCAGTTGTCCTTCCATAATCCATCTGTTCACCCTACATCATCTTTTCCATTTTAACAACTTTTTAATAACCAACAGATCAAATGTCATGGTATTTGGCTAGTGGATTGCTGGGATGAAGCCTGACAAATTTGCTAAAAGAAATTACCTTGACCCATATTCAAAGTCACAGGGGTCAAATATTTGAAAACTTTTAACAACTTCTCTAGAATAACAAAAAGGTGCAGAATCATGTTGTTTGGCTTACAGATTTATAGGATGAACCCTGACAAAGTTTGTAAAAAGAAGTGACCTTGATACATATTCAAAGTCACAGGGGTCAGATTTGTGAAAAACTTCAAACAAGAAATGATATTTACCTATAATCCAGATCACAGTTGTCAGTGTTTAGAGTTGAATATTAGAAGCTTGGTTTTTTTGTGTGGAAATTGGTTAAAATTGATTTGATGTGCCCACTTTCATTGCCAATGGTACACATGTTAATATATTTCTAATGAACAACAATTTTATATTTGATGAACCCACTGGGCCTCTTGTCATTGTCTGTTACAACATTGATGTCTTATGGTATAGCATTCATCAGGTCACCATAAAGTGGATATTGAGGTCTTGTTTTTGGAACATGTCAGGATAGTTGTCGTACATGTTATAGTTAAAGACCTGTGACTTGCCTAAGTAAATTCACAGTGATGTGTACACTCCTTACTACATCGTATTATCAGAAATCTATATATCTACATAAGCATGATATGCATTGGATTGAAAAACAAGTTTTGACACTTTTACAAGCTGTCAAGACATCATCAGATCACAAAATTAAAAATAACTTATAAATTTGAAATATATCTCAGAATCTCTTTGCCATTGAATGAAAGGAATAAATTGATAAACACAGGAAATAAAACTTGAGAATTATGTTATGGGCTATTAAGTCCCCTGAACAAAATTTCAGAGATATATTGATTTTACCCCTTTTCATATTGTTAATGCTGTTCTTTTTTCTTCTTCCGCTTTCCGATGCAAAGATTTCAAACACCTTTCTCCAAAACTGTAAGTAGGATCTTAACCAAATTTCTGAGGGAATAATACTAATGGCCTTTAGATGTTCAGACAACTTATTTTTTCTGATTTGGCAAAATTGACAACATTTTTAACTCCTGACTGGCTCCTACCTTTACACCTGTAACTTAGGCTCTATTCAGCACATCGAATGAATATTGGTGGAAAGGATAACTTGCTAAGGTGATAAGATAAAAAAAAAAAGACATTGTTAACAGAATGGCTGAGTTTAGATGTTATCTCATTTTAATTAAATGTTGGATGTAGGTGTAGTACGACATTTGAAACACACTGGTGATGTCAATTTCCTGATTGGACACAATGGCCAACTAAGGGGTTGGTCAAAAGTTGCACATTTTTAAAGTTGATTGTTTACAACTTTTTAAGGTGTACACCATCAGGTCTGCATATATTTCTTCCCTGTTGGAAGTGCTTTGACTTTTAACAAATACATGTTTATTATATCTTTTTTAAAGACTTTCTTCACAGACCCAGTAAATGTGTTTTGTTTAAACAAGAAACCAAAAGGGCCTGTGTCACTTCTCAGAATGTGGTGTTATTTCCTTTTAACTACTTTTTAAAGATGTTTCAGCTGACATGAGATGGTTAGGGTAGATAGTATAAGATGTGCAATATTTAAATGAATTCATTTAAATTGATTTGTAATGCTGATGAGGAATGACAGTTCAAATTGCTTGACGCTACAGTTTTATAGTCATAGCAAAATCAAATAAAAGCCTTTGATTGGTCAAACAGAAACATCTTAAAAAGTTGAGTTTGGGGCAGAACATTTAGTAAACCCAGAAAGCCCTATGGTAAAAAAAACCGCTGATAGGTTGTCTAAGATAATCAGGGTAATAAGGTATCCTGTTTGATAGCAGTTCTTGTTATATTTGTAGACATTGTTTTATTTTGTACCTGGATAACTTTTCTGCAGTTCCATTGCAAATACATAATTCGATATAATTTTGAAATATAAAATATTTCATTTTTAAGATTATCTAATACAATTTTTGTCTCATCATAGCCTATCCTAAAACTGTCCAATGATATTAAAATAGAAAGACATTTTCTAAAACTAGCTTGAAAGATATTAACTGGATCATTATACCAGGTAATAAAAACATTTGTTGAGTATTAAGTAAGGTAACAAAATTCTTGAAGCCTGTTAAGGTAGATAGATCATATTGAACAAGGTCGTGTTGACACCAGCCATCAGTTAACCAATACACTGCTGTTACAGGCAATATGAGTCATGTTCTTCATTGGTCATAAAGAAAATTCAAACATGGAAAAACCACATTCAAAACAACCTATCTACAGGTGTTTAGTGGGATATGCTGATGTGGTTTACTGATGTGTCTGTTCCAGTCCATCCATCATGGTCTGTCGTCCTGTTTTTTGAGATCTTTGCCATATACTACCTTACATACAACAGACAGCTATCAAGTGGCTACCACTTCATTACATACCTTTATGCCTAACATGATTTTAATAGCAGACGAGGTTAACTATGTTAAGCTAGTTTTTGTTTTGACAAGTTCATTTGACTTATCAACTTTTCAGTCAAACTTCCCTGGATCAAGTACTATAAAAGTCCTTAGGTTCAAGAGGGTCTATTTTCAAGGATGGATCAAAATAGCAATAGATACATTGTAAAATGATGACCTACACTTCTACTGTACTGCTGGTAAATCTCCTACCCTATACAAAATGTCTACACGTCTACTGTACTGCTGGTAAATCTGACACCCTATACAAAATGTCTACACATCTACTGTACTGCTGGTAAATCTCCTACCCTATACAAAATGTCTACACGTCTACTGTACTGCTGGTAAATCTGACACCCTATACAAAATGTCTACACATCTACTGTACTGCTGGTAAATTTCCTACCCTATACAAAATGTCTACACATCTACTGTACTGCTGGTAAACCTCATACCCTATACAAAATGTCTACACATCTACTGTACTGCTGGTAAATCTCCTACCCTATACAAAATGTCTACACATCTACTGTACTGTTGGTAAACCTCATACCCTATACAAAATGTCTACACATCTACTGTACTGCTGGTAAATCTCATGCCCTATACAAAATGTCTACACATCTACTGTACTGCTGGTAAATCTCATGCCCTATACAAAATGTCTACACATCTACTGTACTGTTGGTAAATCTGATACCCTATACAAAATGTCTACACATCTACTGTACTGCTGGTAAATCTCATGCCCTATACAAAATGTCTACACATCTACTGTACTGCTGGTAAATCTCATACCATGTACAAAATGTCTACACATCTACTGTACTGCTGGTAAATCTCATACCATGTACAAAATGTCTACACATCTACTGTACTGCTGGTAAATCTCCTACCATATACAAAATGTCTACACATCTACTGTACTGTTGGTAAATCTCATACCCTATACAAAATGTCTACACATCTACTGTACTGCTGGTAAATCTGACACCCTATACAAAATGTCTACACATCTACTGTACTGCTGGTAAATCTCCTACCCTATACAAAATGTCTACACATCTACTGTACTGCTGGTAAACCTCATACCCTATACAAAATGTCTACACATCTACTGTACTGCTGGTAAATCTGACACCCTATACAAAATGTCTACACATCTACTGTACTGCTGGTAAATCTGACACCCTATACAAAATGTCTACACATCTACTGTACTGCTGGTAAATCTCCTACCCTATACAAAATGTCTACACATCTACTGTACTGCTGGTAAACCTCATACCCTATACAAAATGTCTACACATCTACTGTACTGCTGGTAAATCTGACACCCTATACAAAATGTCTACACATCTACTGTACTGCTGGTAAATCTGACACCCTGTACAAAATGTCTACACATCTACTGTACTGCTGGTAAATCTGACACCCTATACAAAATGTCTACACATCTACTGTACTGCTGGTAAATCTGACACCCTATACAAAATGTCTACACATCTACTGCACTTCTGGTAACACCCTTAAATCTTGACCCTGAACAAGACATATGTCTGCTTTAATAGATTTTGTATCAATCCCTATTTTCTGGCTTCCGTTTATAAGAGGCTTGTCAAATTTCATTTTATTGTATACAAAATTTTATGTGTTATTATTTTAAATGACATTTGAAAATGAGAAAAAAGTAGTTAACCTTGTTTGACCTTAAAAAGAGGTCAAAGATAAAAGATCTATTGATTACAAAACAGTATTTTGACAATGGTTGGTTAATCTCTCTTTGCTGTAGGTGGTTTTCATTCATAATGCTGTAGGGATTGATGACATGATGTTTCTATATATAGAAGGATCGGGTTTTTCCAGTTGATATCCGGGAGTGTATTCCACATGTACCCATGGTGTGATGTTAAATAGACTGTGACAGAGTACAGAAACACCTCACATATCAATATACCTAGGCCAAACCCAACTAGAAGCTTTCTTGTAATCACATGTGTTGTTCTAAATTTCTAGTAATATGTACATTTCAAAGAAATTCAGTTGATGTTTTTCTCATTTGTTTTGGGGTTTTTTTTTTACGTACTACTACTATAGTATATTAACATACAGAAGGTATTACTGGACATTTTCAGAAATTGCATTTGTTTATTAAAACTTGAGAGTATTTTTCTACAGAAATGAATAATATTTGAGTCATAGTAATATGTCACTATGATTTACTAAAAGATGTCTATTTTGACATCCTGTACGGATGTCATTGTAATTTTTGATTAGGTAGAGAAACGAAATTAGCATTAGATTCACATCTAACATTGATGAGTGATGTTGACATCTTACAGGTAATTACATTACAAAAAATTACAATACTATTGCCTTTTGTATAATGTTAACTGTGTATTGTGACCATCAATTATTTTGTGGCCATCTGTGTACTTTTACTGTACCTAACATCACCATCATTTATCTATTTATGTTGTATACTTGTATCAATATCAGCTGCATAAACATTAAAATGAAATCTTTGGATCTCTGTTTCCAATTTTCAGTGAAATCAGCTCCAAGAACAACACCACACTGCCAAGTAAACTTCGACAAACCACAGCAGCTGAAACCAGTGTTAAACATTGAAACTCATTTGTCTGCTTATCGTATTTATTTTGTATACTGCATTTACAATGTACTTCTTATATACTGGTACAGTTGAAGTACAAGCTTCACAAATTACTAATGCCTCTGTAACATCAGAAATACTGTAAACTTTTTGCTTTGGCAGGTTCAAATCAAAATCCATATTAGAATTTAAATGTACCCACAGTATTTGTTGTAGAACTTTTAAAAACTGTGGTTAGCGTAGTTGTAGCTAGTGCTAGAATGATCATACCTGACACAGCTGAATGTTTACAGTATCCTTTCTGATATTGCAGTAACAGTAGGTTACCATATGGGAAACCTTCTTTATAATGTTACACTTTTTTATTCTAATAATGCTTGGGACTCGACATTTTTCAACTAGGGAACTTTAAGGTCATGTACTTTAAATATTCTCATTATTTATATGGTGTTAATGTTATGAATTTACTGTCACTATATTTTATGTTTATGTCATTTTCTTGTGTTATATCATTCATACTGAAAAATTATCCAAACAACTGGTATTATCACATCTCATTTTCTGTGTATGTAGGTGTTACCTGTGCATGTAGGTGTTACCTGTGTATGCAGGTGTAACCTATGTATGTAGGTGTTACCTATGTATGTAGGTGTAACCTATGTATGTAGGTATTACCTGTGTATGTAGGTGTTACCTATGTATTCAAGTGTTACCTGTGTATGTAGGTGTTACTTATTTATGTAGGTATTACCTGTGTATGTAGGTGTTACCTGTGTATGTAGGTGTTACCTATGTATTCAGGTGTTACCTGTGTATGTAGGTGTTACTTATGTATTCAGGTGTTACCTGTGTATGTAGGTGTTACTTATTTACGTAGGTATTACCTGTGTATGTCGGTATTACCTGTGTATGTAGGTGTTACCTATGTATGTAGGTATTACCTGTGTATGTAGGTGTTACCTATGTATGTAGGTGTTACCTGTGTATTTAGGTATTACCTGTATATTTAGGTGTTACCTGTGTATGTAGGTATTACCTGTGTATTTAGGTATTACCTGTATATTTAGGTGTTACCTGTGTATGTAGGTATTACCTGTGTATGTAGGTATTACCTGTGTATTTAGGTTTTACCTGTATATTTAGGTGTTACCTGTGTATGTAGGTATTACCTGTATATTTAGGTATTTCCTGTGTATGTAGGTATTACCTGTGTATGTAGGTATTACCTATATATTTAGGTGTTACCTATGTATGTAGGTATTACCTGTCTATTTAGGTATTACCTGTGTATGTAAGTATTACCTGTGTATTTAGGTTTTACCTGTGTATGTAGATGTTACCTGTCTATTTAGGTATTACCTGTGTATGAAGGTGTTACCTGTGTATGTAGATGTTACCTGTATATGTAGGTGTTACCTATGTATGTAGATGTTACTTCTATAATTGTTACCTGTGTATGTACGTGAGGAGAAACATCTGGTACTGCCTGGAGAGATGGTTTGGAGCAGTACCAGTATCCTATATCTGGGAATCAGCTTATAACTGGCCTCAGTTACTGGCTTACATACCAGTTTTTTGGTTGTTTATTCTGTGCGGTAACATAATCTAGACGTCATCACTAACAAGACAAGTGTGTACTAAGTTGTTACAAATCACTCTGTTGTTTGTCGGTATGTGAGTTAAAAGAACATAGAACCTTATCTAAGCTTTCATTACTTTGTTCACCATAGTTAATATATGTAATGGAAAGCAAGGAGTGAACTCTAAAATCGGCTGCTTTCAGTCCAATTTGGCGTTGAATTTAGGTCAGTCTTTGGAAGCATTGGTTAATATGTTGACTCCTGCCATCATTGTTTGTGGTCCAAGATTCTAGTCTATCATTGCAAGGTCCAAGTTCAAAGATAAATGAGTGAAGTCTCTATGAACATTTCCCTTTTCACCTATATTCACACTGGTCTACTCGAAGGGTTTTTTTTAAGCCAAACACACATACAGCTAACCTAAAACATCTGTGTCCTATTTTTTGTGGGATAATCCAGTGGGTCATATCACAGTTGAAGTACTGTACCTTATACTTAAGGATCACTTTACATTGTAGTCCAGTATCACTGGTACTCCTGTACACTGTACTCAGTACATTGTATTTATCACTCCTCTCTTTATCCCTGTATATCATATCCAGTATCACTGTCTACACACTGTACTCAGTGTATATGATGGGATGGACTCCCTCTCATTATGGTACAAATCAGCTAAGACAATAGTGTGTATTTTGTAATTGACTGTATAAGTGAGATTGACCAGATGCCAAAGCCTACACAATAGTGTGATAGTGTTTCATACCCTGCAGTGTTATCAGTGTTAGTGTGGTAAATAATCAGAAATGTGTCTCATCAAAATCGAGAAATACACTTGTTAATTTCTTATAATGTCTTATAATGTAAATTATTTCATTGGAAAGAAAAAATTCTCCACTTGAAATTATCTAATTTTATCATATTGATTTCTAAAGCTGTAGTTTGAAATGTATAACATTTACCATAGCTTGTGCTTGAGAACAAAAGAGTATGAATCAATTTATTAACAGTTACATCTATCAATACCTCTGAAATTAAAAGATCACCATGCCATCCATCATAAAGTTGTTATTTTTCAACTGTTTTTATATGCAAAAATGACATTATACAGGTGTTATATAATCTACCCCAGTATTACAGTATACAGGTGTTATATAATCTACCCCTGTATTACAGTATACAGGTGTTATAATCTACCCCTGTATCACTGTATACTGGTGTTATTTTTACTGTATGCAAATGTTTTCTGTGATTTTGATATGAAGTAAACAAATTTATTTTAAAAAGAATCGTTTAATTCACTGTCTTCTTATTAACTGATAGGTACTGTATTAAGTGGTCTAGACCTCATTTTGTCATAGAAGATACCGATATCATTGGAAAAATTTTTGGTTTTTTTGATAATTTGAAGTTTTTAAAGATATGTTTGAAACCAAAGAATATTAGTGCTTTGCCAAATGTTTAAAATAAACTATCAGAAAATGTGAGCTATATAGACAAGAATAGTTTGTTTGACTGTAGGCGTGGTAGATATTATTGCTTACGTTATCTATGTATAGCGTCCTCAATATGCCTCATCATTACAGGAATGTTTCTTATGTTCTTGAGACGATTATAGATCTGTATTTATATTTATTTATATATTTGTGTGTATGTTTAAATTATCTAACCTTCTTTTCATCTTGTGTTATTTTAGAATGCAACTTCTATTTTTTCAAAATAAAAATATTCTGGCAGGCAAGAAGTAAGAAATGTAGAGTAAAAATGGCTTGAAAGTTTGCTTAATGGTCAAATAAAAATTTCTTAACGATATGATTGAAAAATTGCGTCATATGATCAGAATTTATATATGCAACTTTTTTTTAGTTGATTTATCCTTCTAAAGCAATATGAATTCTTCAAAGCCAAAAGTATTAAAATCTCATCTATATGGTTATATTGTTATAACGATTATGATATACAGTGTAATTAATATACTGTAAAGTAGATATTGATGTGTTTTGATGTTTTAACAGTGTTGAAATTTTACACTGGTAATGTTACCAGATGCTTTATAGTATGTCTTTCTGATTCTTTTTACATAATTCTGTGTTGGTCAAGCAAACCCAAAATAAACATGAAACTTTAAAAACAAGATCATTCAAAATTCAAAATCAATTGAATTAATTACAGAGTGTTTCTACATAATTGTGGCCTTGACCTATTTCATAAATCATTATTAGATATATATATATATATATATATTTGTTTGATTAAGTTATGTCATTTCTGCTGGAATGCAAGGTATCTGTACATACTTTTGGTGCTAAATCTATAATTATATATAATCACATATTTAGATGACATTTAAAATATGTATAAACAATAATAATATGTGCATGACAATAAAAAATTTTTTTATTAAACAATTGTGTTGTTTTTTTATACACTGCTATATATTTCCTGTAGTTGGCTTTTACATCACTTTAACATTAAAGATGACAGTCCAGTATTGATTTAACAAAGGATGGGTTCTAGTACACTTCCACTTAACCTGCAAGCTTCTGAGATCACTTCTAGGGTATTTCAGTCAGTTGTAAAGCACTCTCATGGATTAAACAAGGTGATATATTAAATTTCTAATACATAATAGTATTGGTACATTCTTAATTGATATTCATTACATATTTATCTTTGGGGAAAAAATATGTTTTCATCAAACTACAGCAGGAGAAATGGAAAATTATATTACAAACAGACACTGAAAAACGTATTGTTGCCCAGAACGGTAAAGTAATTGATTGGAAAAGCTGAAAGGAGACAATGGGAAGTGGTTTCAACGGTATAAAACTGTTCAATGTGTGTAATGACAGAGGAAACAAGGTAATCACTAATCCACACATAAAATGTATGTCCTAAGTTTTGTCCAAGGTGTTGTGGAAGCATTTCATGATCAACTCTCAGCTTACTTTACACGGTGTGCAGTGAAAGACAAGATCATTCTAGTCAACTTTCCAAGAAATAAATATCTGTCACCAGGAAGTCTGTATACCTGTAATATAAAGTACCACGGAGACATCATTTCTGATAGTTCACTTGATCAATGTCATTAATAGCTTAAGAGGTAGTTTTCAGTGGTATGTAAATCATAACAACAATAATTTGAAAAATTTTCAGAATTTTGGATTTCAAGTAATGTCGGCATCAAGTTCACTTTCAATGAATGTCTGGTACACTTACAATGAGCTAATCAGTTTTGGTACTATTATAATTATTTCCTAGTACACCTCTAATAAATATGTAGTGAGTTCTCAGATCACTTCTAATGATTATATGATGAGTTCACTTCAAATGAATATGCAAAGTCCCCTGTTCACTTCTAATGAATATGCAACAAGTTTCCAGTTCAATTCTAATGAATATGCAACAAGCTCTCATTTATAATGGATATACAATTAGTTCCTAATTAACTTCTTGTGAATATCCAATGCAATGAGTTCCATGTTCACTTCTAATGAATATTCAATAAGTTTCATGGTCACTTCTAATGAATATTCAATAAGTTTCATGGTAACTTCTAATGATTATGCTATTATCACTCAGTTCACATGTAATGAGATTGCCATTGGTTCCCGATTCTAATGGATATGCAATTAGTTCCTTGTCTTAATGAATAACCAATGTGTTCACATCTGATGAATGTGCATTTACATACAATTTCACTTCTTATGAATGTTCTATTAGCTCCCTGATTACTTCTAATGAATATGCAGTGAGTCCAGTTCAAATAAATGTGCAATTAGTTTCCAATTCATTACTAATGTATATGCAGTGAGTTCTTAGTTCACTTCTACTGAATATGCAATAATTCCCAGTTAAAATCAATACGCATTAGTTTCTATTTCACTTTTTATGAATTTTCAATTAGTTCACTGTTCACTACTAATGAATATGCTTAACAAGTTCCCTGTTCGCATGTAATGAATATGTATTGAATTCCTACTTCACTCATAATGGGAATGCAATGAGACCCAATTCAAATGAGTATAAAATGAGTTCTTAATTCACTTTTAATGAATATACAATTAGTTTCCAGTTAACATAAATATGCACATAGTTCCTTGTTCACTTGTAATGAACATGTAATTAGTTTCCAGTTCACTTCTTATGAATATGCATTGAGTTCTCAGATCTTATGAATAAGCGATTAGTTTCAAGTTCACATCTTATGAATATGCAATGAGTTGCCTGATTAATTATTATGAATATGTAAAGATGTCCTAGTTCTTATGAATATGCAAATTCCTGTTACACTCTGATGAATTAAGTTAGTTCCCATTATACTTTTTTCTGAATATGTTCACAGTTATGTTCTAATGAATATACAATAAGCACACGATACACTTATAATGACAATGTAGTGAATCAACCGTGTCCTTCTTATGAATATGCAATGAGCTCGCGATAGACTAGTGCCGTTCTTATGAATATGCAATGAGCTCACGATAGACTAGTGCCGTTCTTATGAATATGCAATTAGTTGTCGGCTCATTTCTAGTGATTAGGCATGGAGTTCCCGTTGTACTTCTATTTTATAAGCAATTCTAGAACATTACTTCAGTTTATAACAGGACTTCTGCTGAACCTCGTGTAATATTGTAGTTTTTCTGGTGAACTTTGGTGAGGCAGCGCATTACAAGATGCGGTTGGCACGATGGAATGTCAATGCACACTGTTTGAGTTCACCACACGCAGTTTTGAAGCTTGGTGTTGTCATAGTTCACTGCTTTTGTCTAATTCATCATTTATAGAGGACAGGGCCCTAAAATGAAACCACACGTGGCTGATATTGTGACCAGGGCGCAACCGCAATTACAATTATAGTAGATCGGGGAGCACAACACAATGTCAACAGTTAATTCTATCACTATTCCGTGGGTGTGTTGACCGGTTCTCGCTCCACTATTCAAGATCATACGATGATGAGCGAGCGAAAAGATAATAACTCGAGAATAAGAGGATAACAAGGCAATAACTTCCTCGTCGTCATTCTATTTATTCAACAAGAACATTGTAAGCCTGGGTTTTTCTAGTGTCTTTTATTAGTAGGAATCTGACTCACACAATTCTTGTGTTTCTTCGAACGATGTCTCGGTCTGTCGACCAAGCGAAACTGAAACGTTTTACTTGTATCTATTTAATCAGATTAAGACATGAATTAATATAGAATATGTCTCGAAACAACAGAGTTTTCACTGGCCAACGAAATATGATGTGGTCAAAGTTTATTTTGTTAAGAGCAGATATCTGTATATGAGAACATATAGATATATGGTTTACATCATATAGAATGATATTTGCGTCGCAGTTTCAAAATTAATAGGAGAAAAGAATAGACGGTGAAACGAGCACTAGGTCCCGATTAAACAAAGTCCGGTACATCCATTAGACAGTAAACCCTACTACACAAAATCTCTAAGGTATTGCATATATGCAACTTGTTTGACAATACGAGGGTCGGATTTCGCCTCCGACGGGCAAAACTATGCGAGCGACCGGTTTGACGTTCGGAACTTAATTAAAATGGAGGAAACCTGATCGGTCTGGAATGTTAGTCAATTTTCCCTGCACCAATTGCACAGGAAGGCTTCTGAAGTTTCGACAACATTGCATTCCTGACGTTGTAAAATATCGTCGGAGAATGTCGGAGTACTGAATATTTACCAGTGTACCAAGGCAAAAGTCTATAAGATTAATTCGTCACATTATTTTGAGAGACGAGACCGAAAAATTTAGAATTTTACGGACAATAAAATAAACTTGATAATGAAAGCCATCAGTGTTGCCGTGAAGAGCCCTGTAGGAGGGAAAGGAACGTATGTAAGCTGTCCCACGGGAGAGTGGAAGAGCGTACTTATGATACCTCATTCGTCACGGTCAGTATCACAAATCAACCGTGACTCTGCTTCCAGTGGCAGCTTGTTGAGATTCCTGTGCTGCGATCGGTCACGCTGAATCTCAAACCGGACAAGAATGGAAAGCTCAGCGGTCAGATTCATGGGTCCCGAGGGAAGTGTGGCACCACATTATATGTAATTAGTTAGGATTCCGGTAATACTCCCGTGGATTACATAGTAATTATGTATAATTACCCTAAACATCCAGAAGGGAATATCATTGGAAAATCTCGGAAAGAGAACAACATAATGAAAAGTTTCATTTCCTTCGCCTTCGTCAATCGCAGATTTCTACTAAAATATGTACAGGATCAGCCCCCATTTTCCAGACTATGAATTCGTGTTGATACTTATTTAAACAATTCATTTGTAGACTTAATTGATTTAAACACCTACGATTCTAATCAAACGTAATTTCTGATTAAGTAGATATTTTGCGCGGGATAAGTGTAGCTAGATAAGTCTGGGCATTTTTTCAAAATCTAAGATGGGTTTGCTGGATCTGGGATCAATATTGCGTGAATCGGAAGGCATTTTCTCTCTTATAAATGTCAATTAATGTAAAAATATTTTTACTAAAATCCTCTGGTCACTTTATCCCATCCCATACTGAACATAGCTTGGCATGAAATTACTTAAATCCTCTTCGTGTAGACGTGTATACAAATTGGTGCCGTGTATAAAATAGTATGTGTTGTGTATAAAATAGTAGGTGTCGTGTATAAAATGGTAGGTGTCGTGTATAAAATAGTAGGTGTCGTTTGTAAAATAGTAGGTGTCGTGTATAAAATAGGTGTCGTATATAAAATAGTAGGTGCCGTGTATAAAATAGTGTATAAAATAGTAGGTGTCGTGTATAAAATAGGTGTCGTATATAAAATAGTAGGTGTCGTGTATAAAATAGTAGGTGTCGTGTTTAAAATAGTAGGTGTCGTGTATAAAATAGTAGGTGTCGTGTATAAAATAGTAGGTGTTGTGTATAAAATAGGTGTCGTATATAAAATAGTAGGTGTTGTGTATAAAATAGTAGGTGTTGTGTATAAAATAGGTGTCGTAATAGGTGTTGTGTATCAAATTGTTGGTGTCGTGTATAAGATAATAGGTGTCGTGTATAAAATAGTAGGTGTCGTGTTTAAAATAGTAGGTGTCGTGTATAAAATAGTAGGTGTCGTATATAAAATAGTAGGTGTCGTGTATAAAATAGTAGGTGTCGTGTATAAAATGGTAGGTGTCGTGTATAAAATAGTAGGTGTCGTGTATAAAATAGGTGTCGTGTATAAAATAGTAGGTGTTGTGTATAAAATGGTAGGTGTCGTGTTTAATATGGTAGGTGTCGTGTTTAAAATAGTAGATTTCGTGTATAAAATGGTAGGTGTCGTGTATAAAATGGTAGATGTCGTGTATAAAATAGTAGGTGTCGTGTATAAAATAGTAGGTGTCGTGTATAGAATTGTAGGTGTCGTGTATAAAAT